ACAGCAGCCGTCGATTCGGTAATTAATTCTCAGTCCTCATTTCCCATTAAATCCGTCTGTGTTTAGCAGGGGTAGCAGGGGTAGCAGCTCCCGTAGTTGTATCTACGGCTGTAGCAGGAGGAGTAGGGGTAGCAGTAGCGGGAGCTGTAGGAGGGGGAGCAGTCCCGATAACTGCACAGACCCCTGTAGCCCCGGTAGTCGCAAGGGCTTCCGCAGTCGTAGGTCCGGCAGCTGTACACGGTCCTGTAGTTGCAGGGAGAGTAGCAGAAGTCCTCACACTGGTTCTGGTAGCAGTAAGTCATCTTGGCGCGACGGAGGGACGCGAGGCTGGAACAGAGCAGAGGAGAAGATAAGGTCTGCCCCGGAGACCAAGCGGCAGCTTGCTGCTTTTGGCAAACCCCGTGTAAACATGGCAAAGAGGAAGAGGAGAGAAGGGTGAACGTGGGAACCAACTGAACATCTCCATCCAAGGCTACACCCTGACTCCTTCTTGCCCAGCTCACTCCTTTCTGTTTTTTTCCCCCCCTTCTTTTTTTTCATAGAAGGAGTTTATGCTGCTTTGATTGCTGCCGTTGCTTAGAATTGGCAGTCTGCATTCAGATCGTATTTTAAAGAGGAGATTGCCAAGATCTGGTTTTCTCTATCAGCGTCCGACGTTTCTCTAAAAACTGTCAGTGAACAAACACTAGTTCAGCAACAAATCCTGCCAGTTTCTGGGCCAAGAAAAGATCAAAGGAGAGAATAAGGTCGCCCCCCTTGTGCAAGTCAGCAGGGCTCTGCTGAAAAAGCAGCTTGTTTGTTTGGACCCGTCCCCATGCCTTGGTTGCCAGCCGAACACGTGCTCGCTTTTTGTTCAAAATAATTGAAAATATCTAACGCTCCATCGTCTGCTTCAAAATGAAGCAGCCTGAAATGCTTCAATATATCATAAAATAAATTCTCACAGTGCACGGCTAGACGAGACAATATTCTAAGGTTACGTAGTCATCTTAATATTTCATTTTGAACATAAAAGAATTGTCCTGGCATGGCTGCGGCATCACAGCCCTTGTTTTTTTTTTTTAAGCGGAACTGCCACCTGCATCACAACAGAGCAAAACCATCTGCACAGCGGTAAAGACACTGTAGTAAGTCTGACTTACCAAGTTCGGTGAGACTGTAAGTCCAGAGATGCGAGTAGAGAGCCTTGAATTTCCCTCCCTTTTATATATATTTTTTTTTCCTGGCCCAGCCTACTGTGCTTTAAACTCGTATTCATCACAAAACAAATTTACTTCTGCCCGTCATTTCTGCAGTTGATGTAATTGTTTTCCCTGGTTTGTGATTATTAGTCAGTTCTTGGCTTCCAAAAGCATGACATTGCATTGCAGTTTTCTTTCATCTTCAGACTTCCTGGGTCAATTATATTTGTAGAATTAGTGTGGTGAAATCTGGGTTGTAACAGGAAAGGGAAGGAAGGATATTGGGAGCAGAATTGACAGATGTTCGCAACGCAAAGTTTGGAGGAAGGGACAAATGTCAGTATATGAAGCCTGCAGTGACTCTTGGATTGGTTTGAGGATGAACAAATTTCTTTTTTTTTTTTTTTTTCAGGAATAACAATCCCTAGAAATCAGTTTTTTTTAATTGTTTTTTGGTTTCATTTTTTTTAATGTGTTTTTTATTATTTGGGGTTTATTTGCTTGTTTGTTTTTATTTCCAAATTGCACTTTTAGGACAAAATATTGGCATTCTTTGCATTTATAATCATGTTTATACTATTTCGAGCTCAAAAGCAGAAGTACAAGAACAGATTAGAGGACATGTGTGGTATCTTGCTGCAATAAAATACGCACGAACATGTTAACTGTACACGGTGAGACCTGCCACAGGAAAGTCGTTCTGTAGAAAATCCGATTTGCTTTCTTGCTATACTCTATAAATTACTTTTATCCAACTTCAACAGCCACATCCTAAGTCTACACAGAAAGAAACTGGGCTCCTTTTTGGTGTAAGCGGAAATATTTTTGGAATAAGGAGCTGGTGACTTTATGAGGACCGTAAAGCAGGTAGCGATCATTAATAAACCTAAAGGCTTACAAGCAGAAATAATGGTATTTGAAATTTCCACCGTATATGAAATAAATTTACAAACTCCGTCTTCTGGAGAGCCAGCCCAAGCGAGGCAAATTTAATTGGATCTAAAAAAAAAATAAAAATCTGATTGTTTACACTTAAATCGGGTCCGTGACAAAGAACAGGATAAAAGAAAAAGGAACGTATCACCGTAATAACTGTAGATTTCCTCAGAATTCCCCCAAATGCTAAATATGGTTTAATGTGACATATTCTTAATGTTATTGAGGTCTTTAACTGAATGCTCTTAATGACAGTGAATAATGCTGAGCCCTGTGGATGTGACCTGGTAAAGCAGCAACATCGCGGTCCTTCCCCGGTGACCTTCACCTCAAAACCCTGCTGTTTACTCGCATCCAGAGGAAGGATAATAACAGGCATGTCAAATGTTCTGGGCCTTTCACGAAATTTTGAATATGAAAGCCTTCATTAATACTTATTAAAGATTGAAATGCACAAAGAGATTTATTATTTAAATATTAATACTACATTACTTGAAAACAACGCCAGTGTTATGTAACGCAGTGTCTAAAAACATACACCGAGTTGTCCTGTTCTTACGCTTTGTTAAGGTTGTAATTTACAGCTTCAGAATTGGGCCTCTGAAAGGTTTTTTTGTTTTTTTTTTTTTTTTTCTCTAAAAAAATATGTCATACACATACCATTTTAATGCTTACAGGCCAATTTTCCAGCTGAATCAAGCAGCATAACAATATCCCACTGCATGACGGCATCAGATCAAAGAAATGGTCTTTCCCCCTTTTGCCAGTCACAGGAAATGTTAGATGGGATTGGCGAGAAGCTGCTGTTTCACGTGTCATTAAAGCGATACATGAAAAGTAGAGACTACCCCTCGCGGGGTATTTCAGAAAATAAAATGTACAACAAAGCACGCCGGCCAGCATGCACGGTGAGGCTGGTCTTCCAAAATTAAACTTTGGCGTTCCGCATGCCTTCGCATAATTCTGTTGACTTGTTGCCGTGCTGGAGAAGTGAATTCAGCACGATGATACCGACGTTTAATTGCCCTCTGTAGTTCTGAGATGAAAGGAACCTGGAGGGTGTAGCTTAAATGTCACAGTGCTGGGCCAATAATCAGAAACCCTGGGGAGAACCGGTATATCAATGAGAAGGAGTCACGGGGGAAGCAAAATGTGTTTGGTAATTGGAGCTGACTCGGGGAGCAGACATGCCTTGCACACGCTGGGCGGGACTGGGAGCTCTATAAAAACCCGCGCTGCTCAGCATGAGACATTCGCTTCTCCTGCCTTATCCTCCTTGCAGAAGTGGGTAAGTTGGAACAGATTTAGAAAACCTGGCGAATAATGAAGAGATATCGGATATTATTTTCCCTCTCTTTTCTCCCCCTTCCCAGTTACTAATCTACAGGAGCTGTGGGTGAATTGAGGTTGCGGTTTGACGAAATTCATATCTAAGATATTCTTTTCTCCCTGGATTTTCATTAATATTTAAGTGTTTGAAAACGTTTCGGTCCTGCGTGTCTCCTTTTCCCTTACAGTCTTTATCTCAGTACAACTCCGAAGGATTTTCCAGTTCGTTTCCTGGCAGCTGCCTTTTGACACGGGTCTCACGGTTCACATCTCCCATCGTGATGCGCGGGGTGCAGCCCGTGAGGCTGGGCATGAAAACTCAGAAAGGCTGCTCAGGACGGGGAATTGGGGGGAAGACTTGGCACTGAAATGCAGGATAGAGGACTAGATGAGGGCAGAGGGTGTCAGGCAGCCTGCCTGCCTTTGATGGCTCTCTCTTCCCTCCCCACATCCTTGCAACGTTTATGTGAGACTTACTTGCTGTTGGGAGCGTTGCCTTACAGGCTTCTTCTCTTCTACTGTCTTTCAGACTCGCGTCCCTCTGTCGCGCCAAGATGACTTACTGCTACCAGAACCAGTGTGAGGACTTCTGCTACTCTCCCTGCAACTACAGGACCGTGTACAGCTGCCGGACCTACGACTGCGGAAGCCCTTGCGACTACCGGGGCTACAGGGGTCTGTGCAGTTATCGGGACTGCTCCCCCTCCTACAGCTCCCGCTACTGCTACCCCTACTCCTCCTGCTACAGCCGTAGATACAACTACGGGAGCTGCTACCCCTGCTAAACACAGCCATCGAATCAACAGATAGGAAACGAAAGGCAAAACGCTGATTTATGGCTCCTGTACGAATTTTACTTTTGCTAAGCTCCCCTGACAGCAACTGCGGTCACGAACGGTCCCGAGTGCTTAGCGTCTCTCTTCAATGTCTGCAGCTATTCCCAACAACCTGCTTTTAGGGCCAACTCTTCCTTCACAGCCTTTGTTGGCGGAACGCTTGTGTATTTTGATGTGTATCTCCAGCAGATGTAGACCGGAGCAGAGGCCTCGTCTTGCTGTATGTTGTTCTGAAAGCTCTGCTCCTCGCCAAACGCCGCGGTCCCAAAAGCATCTGCTGCGAAATGTAGTAACTCTTTGTTTAGAGAAGGTACAAAATCTCTGGATACTCTTCATTCTGTGCTACTACAAGCTGTAACTGCTGTCTACAGTGCTTCTTGCTCTCATTAAAAGCTCTTGCATCACAGTACTGCTTCTGATATATTTTTATGGGGTGTTTTTCTTTTATATTTGACTTTACTAGTTATTTACCTGACACATGGGGGGAAAAAAAAAAAAAAAAAAAAAAAAAAAAAAAAGAGGCATTAGCTTTTCCAATCTGCAATTTTAAGCACCCTGTAGAATCTGAGGTGGCTGAGGACACACTGAGCGCCTCAATTCCTGTCTCCTCCGAGACAGTCCTGAAAACTCGCATCTGCTGTGTCTTAACTCTGCCCCTCTTCCCCCAAACACGCCAAAATATTTCCCAAATCCCAGCTTAGAAACGCGAAGAAGAAAATTAAATCGAGTACTCGCTGACTACGTTCCTGCCCGAGTTATGCTCCTTTTGAGGATCTAAAACGCACTGAGACACGAAATGCTGGGCTCCCTGAGATTTCTGCGGCTCTGAAATAGGTACCTGATGCAAAACCACAAGGGTGAGCACATTCTCCCCAACACGTGTCAGGGTTTAAGCATAACCATCTCCCCACCAGAGGTTCCTTTGCGTGGTTGATGTCCCATGGGTGAGCTGTCAGCCCTTCCTATTGCTGCCCTGGCCAGTCCGGCGTTTGGGCACCCATCCTGCAAGTGTCTGTCTGCCAGCCTTTGCCATCAGCAAAAAGTGTTTTACAAAGAGAAGAATCATGCAGATCCCAGATAAGGCGAGGCTTTAAGGGGACGCCTCTTCTTCCCCATAATTAACAAGAGGGCATGTGACAGGGAGGGAAAAGAGTTGCTTAAATTGACTGTCAGCTTGATGACGACGGGATGAACCTACTGGGATAGTTCCCAGGCTGGAGCCATCCGGAGCCACAAGGACATT